TAACCTCATTATATGCAATCTCTTTACCATGCCAAGGTGCATGGTATTTAACATTAAAACCATAACTCTCCTTCATTTCCCTCATAACATCCTTTCCCTTAATAGACAGATTTGAACAAACCTTGGCAGCCAACAAAGAAGATAAAACAGAAAGACCAAACCCTTTATTCTTATTTTGACGAATACATCCAATGCAAGTATGAATATAATTTAATTCTTTAATGATAAAAGAATCATTAGGCTGTTGCACAATAGCATGAACACACCATTGACATCCATTCGATAGTTTTTTTGAGCAAACAACAGTGACGCACTTCCAATCATTCCTAGTGTACTTGAAAACAAAACCAACTTCAATGGAGTATTGTATAAGTTTTCTACGAAACTCAACTACACAATCTTCATAACTTTGACCCTTGTAAGAAATATAACTCTAGCACTCATTTGTTGCATAATGGTGACGTCCATAAGAACCATATTAGCCCCAGTATTGGTTCTCATTTCCAGTATTAGTAATTTCACTTAAACAAGAGGACGATGCACTACTAGTAGAAATAACAGACATCTTATTCTAATCATGAACATAAACTTCAATCACTAGATTAGAAATCAAATTATTCACCAATAGAAAGGTCTGAATATCTTCATTGTACTCTAATAAACAGTTTGCTTCACTGCCATATAATGAGTATCTTAACAAAAAACCTCCCAACAACAAACTAGAAAACATAGAAGTTAATTATCCACACAAATCCTCGTAACTAGTATATAGATAAAGTGGCACACCTACTATGCAATTTTCGGAGGACGCTAGACTTTTATACAAGTTCAGGCAAACAGAAACCCAACAAGATTATCATCTTGGTGTATTTATATTTCATCGTGTTACGTGTTTCACTTCCAAACCTTGGAAGTCTTTTTTGTAAAGGTTGTAAGTATTAGATGTTGTTTAGCATCGCATTTCCACCCTTAGACTAACGATTAGACTGAAGCGAGTTACTCAAACTTTAATGGACATGTTGCATTTTGTTTGCCCCACAAGTTGTATGGTTGTAACATACCGTTATCTTTATTTTAGTTGCTTGTGATTATGTGTAGCAAAAGATTTCAAATTTCGAGGATGAAATTTTCTTAAGGGGGTAGATTGTAACAGTTCGTCCCTAGAAATTATGAATTTTATAATTTTAATAAGTGAAGTTACGAAAATGCCCTTTGAGGCAAAGTGTTGACTCTTGTTGACTGTCGTGTCGTGTCACGTAAGAATTATTTTCTTGGCGTATTTTTGCAGTACTTATTGCTACGGACGCGTGGGCGCAAACGGGGTGTGATTTGGAGTTATAACGAGAGAGTTATTAATGTTTAAAGTTAGGGATAAATTGGTAATTTTAATTGATTTGAAAGGCCCTAGATTTCTGGAGCAAATATCTATGAAGCCACACGTGTGGTTGGGATAAAAAGGAAGAAAGAAACGGATGGCTGGGATGCGAAGGAGAGAAGAGAAATGAGAGGAGGGGTAGGATCAGACCCAATCAGAAATTAGAGTAAGGAGGGAAAGGAGGGAACAAATCTCCACTCTTTTTTTGTTGGACCCGTGTACCCATGCCTCCCAACCCGTTTGGCCGGGGTTATTTTGGCCAATTTTGACCCAATTGTTCGGCGATTCATGTCAAATTAACACTTAGGAAACACTCCATGACCTTCCCTCTACCAATTACAACCCAAAATTTATGAAGTTTGACCTTGATTTGATGAAAACCATACCCATGGGCGCAATGAACCTGTGTATTCGATCCTCCAAATCTGAAGTGATTTCATCCAATTACTGCCACCATTAGACTCTCCTTAAGGTCTAGAACAAAGCCCAAACAAGTTTTGGAGCGTCGGGTTCAATTTGAGGGCGAATTGGAGAACACCAAATTTAAGGGTTCCATACGGTTCAAGCTAAATTTGGGGCTTTTCCCGGCCAAATTGGCCTTAGTCATAGGTATGAAAGTTGTTCTATTTACTAAGATCTTCATTTCTGTGAAATTTGGTAATTTTGAAAATAATTGAATTTTCTGGCGAGTTGGGGCGGCTGACCGCCACCGGCGGCAGCGCGTGGTCAGTGGGCCGCCAATGCTATTTTTAGGCTATATTAAATGTCTTGTATTCAGTTTTGATATTTGAATGGCGTAGGTTGATCATTGGAACCTAAATTCTCTACGATACGTTATTAGATATTTATGTGAATCGACAATCCGACCATCGGATCGTCGCTAAACTTTAATATGTTATAGTGCATAATATTTGAGGATCACAGGAATTTATGGATCGGGAATCCGACGTACGGATCTTCCCGAATTGGAATTGTAAGTTCGTAAAATAAATGTTAACCGTCACTTTGTTTTGGCAATTGGCGGAGATCCAACCGTTGGATCATAATGAAATTTTAGGATGATGTTTTAGAAGCATAATGTGGATCCTTGAAAGTTACTGATCCAAAATACGAGGAGCGGATTTTCCGGATTGAATTATGTCGGGATGCGAACGCTACCACCGATTGTTGACTGACGATCGACTTATGGTCAATGGGGTTTAATCACTCTAAAACGTCTTTAGGGATATGTTTTACATAAATTACATGATCTGTTGATAAGAATTCTGAGATGTGGTTGATAATTGTCCTTGGCACCGATCGCTCGGGACGCCTCAATGGTTGTGCTAGGAAGTTGTAGCACGGACTCCAGGTGAGTAGATCTTTTCCTTTCTATCGTGTGTGTATATATATATATATACATACACACACATATGATTGATAATTCCACAAACGTTATTAAGTTGATTTATGCATATTACCCACTTGTAATTATTATGAATACCTTGAGGCACAGTGCGAACTACGAATGGTTTGACCCCTGTTTAGGGTACGTAGGCAGTCTAACGAGATGTTAGATGCATCCATATAATAAATGAGACTAAATAATTGGGACAATAGCCTTGCTTGAGGAATTGAGCAATGTGAGGGACATTGGTGGAAAATGTGAGATTTAACCTTATGTTTTGGTGAATAAATGTTGGTCATAAAACAAAGAGTGATAAAGCAAGAAAATTGAAGTAAGCAGAACCTAATTATTGTGAATGCTTTGAAGTGCCAAATGACGCTGCGGACGCCCAGGTAAGCTTCAGATGAGTACATGTTGATGATAGTGATGGTAGTGAGTATGATTGTATTGAGATGTATTTAATGCTCATTATCTTGCACCTCGGTGTTAGTGCTCCACTCGTGGCCAGGGCCTAGCCTTCATGTGATCATTCACCTTCCGCACCACACACTCACCTTGGATCCAAGGTAGGTGCCAGCCTGTCGTACAGACCACATTAGGTGGTTCCGACTCGTAAGTGACTTGCGATACTTCGCACAGTCTTCACGTGATTGTAGCACTTGAGCGTATTTATTTACACCCAGCCTGTCGTACAGACCACTTTAGGTGGTTCCGACTCGTGTGCAAGATTTGGTAGATGAGCTAATTGATGAGATATGGATAAGTCGTACAGGTCACTTTAGGTGACTCCGACTTATATGCTATCCATGATTGATGAGATATGGATAAGTCGTACAGGTCACTTTAGGTGACTCCGACTTATATGCTAGCCATGATTGATGAAATATGTGATGAGATATGGATAAGTCGTACATGTCACTTTAGGTGACTCCGACTTATATGCTAGCCATGATTGATGAGATATGTGATGAGATATGGATAAGTCGTACATGTCACATTAGGTGACTTCGACTTATATGCCAACCAAGATTGATGAGATATGTGATAAGATATGGATAAGTCGTACAGGTCACTTTAGCTGACTCCGACTTATATGCTAGCAATGATTGATGAGATATGGATTCAACCGTACATGTCATGTGAGGTGACTCCGGCTAATATGTTGATGAGCTATTAGTTCAACCGTACAGGCCACCAAAAGTGGATTCGGTTGACATACCATTTCATATTAATTTATTTCACCTGGGTTACTTATTCTGTGTTGTGAGATATTTGGTGTGGCATATTTATGAATTTCGCTATTCAGAGCATGGTATTGAGATATATATATATATATATATATGTGTGTGTGTGTGTGTGTGTGTGTGTGTGTATGTATATGCTATTTTCTGGGAAAGTATACAGATGTTACGGCAAGGGGTTACTGCCTTTGGTAATTGAAATTGGTTTGAAAAGTTTTGTTTCACTCACTCACAGTTTCTATTTATGCACCCCTCCAGGTACTAGCAGCAGAGTTTCCGTATCGACGAGGATTTGTGGCACTTCCAAGTACAGGTGGCTTCTTAGGTGGCTTCTTTTGATGGTCTAATCATTATCTTACTTTACTGTACTTTACTTATGCTTTGTACCACGCATGAAATGGGTACAGACCTTCTCACTGCGCACTCGTGTACTTAGGCACTTTTAGATTTTAATTTATTCACATTTTATACATTATCACACTTATAGCTTCGTCACCTTCCTGGTGTTGGCCAGCAAGTCTCAATTCGGAGTCCTAGTAGACATTTCGGGTCCGGTGTGTCATATGCAGACATTTTTTTTGTGTAAATCCAATCAATACATATATCCAAGTATGTAAAACTAACTTTGTTAAATTGATTCTGTTGAATAATGTTGAATTGTTTCTGCCTAAACAAAACATTTTTTTTCTGCGAGACTGAACATAACTCAGCCGCTCAAAAAGAAACTGCAAGCTGGTTAACTGTTGTTCTTATCCTTTTTTTAAAGTTAAACACAATGTAGCTTATGAATGGAATTATGGAAAGTCACCTGAGGAAACCATGATTATTGATTTCAATCGCAAGCAGATTGTGAAGTAATATCCCTTTGCAAAATCCAATTAATAAAAAAATTTATGAATGCTTTTCCCCTCCCCCAATATAAACAACCCCACCCGAAAAGTAAAAACTTGATAATTAAGAATAGAAAATGCATGGAGGAGGAGTGGGCTGAGCCTCATATAATGGGTTAGTAATAACGTGATTCAAATTCGTCATTGGCGAGAATCGAACCTAAGACCTCTCACTTACAAGTGAAGAGGAATACCACTGGACTATAGAACTAAATGACCATTAATACACGATTTTAGAAAAAAACTAACTTATCAAAACACATATATATGGTTGCACGTGAGATATAGCCAATGAATAGCAATAATTTTATAGATAGGCAATTTCAACACTCTATACAAAAATGATCGTCAAACTACATTTCGCAATCAGGAAACAAAAGATAATCAAGAGCCCATTGTAGATCAAAGTTTTAAATAACGCATTGTGTGAGGTGTAGCAAGGTGGAAGGATTTTGCTCCAAGGCATTAAATGTTTTGCAGTTGTCCCATTTAGCCAACACTATTTGGATATAGCATGCGCTACACTATTTGCGCAATAATGACGACTCTAGCCTATCTGGGATGTTCCTATTCAAAAATTAGATAGAAAGAAACTCCGTCTTCTTTTTAAATAATTTTCTCGGCAACCAAACAGAATTAAACAAAACTGAAATTCACTTCCGAGAAAGAGGGATTCGTACCCCGCCTAGTGTAATATACAAACAGAGAACACAACAAAATTTTTTCTTCTTTCTAAATTATTTTTCACGGGAACCAAACAAAATTAAACGAAACCGAAATTCACTTCCAAGAAAGAGGAATCCGTACGCCGCCTAGTGTAATACACAAACAAAGAATAAAACCAATAGTGTAATATACAAACAGAGAACACAACAACAAAATTTTCTTTTCTTTCGAAATTATTTTTCTGGGCAACCAAATAGAATTAAACGAAACCGAAATTCACTTCTAAGAAAGAGGAATCCGTATTCCGTACGCCGCCTAGTAGAGAATACAACAAAAATTTTCCTTCATTCTAAATTATTTTCTCAGCAACCAAACAAAATCCAACGAAACTAAAATTCACTTCAAGGAAAGATGAATTCGTACTAGTTTGAGATGGTTGTGAACCATGGGAGAGATCTGACGGAAATTCACCTGAAATCTTGTCTCAATTGAGGGTGGATGCACAAGAAACTTCGAAAAAACATGCGGAGGAGAGGGTCTTTGCAAAAGGCGAAAATGAATTCGTTTCCTCTTTTGTATGCACTGTGGGGGTTGAACGACATGATGTTTCCTCTATAACGTGCGGCAAATGGCGGTTCCATCTTCGTTCTGTGCAACTGCCGCAACTACTCCTCTATGTGGGTGTGTGGAAAGTTTCGAATTATCTAGAGTGTTTTTTTTTTCTTTTATATTTTTAGATAAGCCTTTGAAACTTTATTTTGTCTTATTTTATTCATGTAACTCAAAAGTTATTATTTTATTTTTTAAAATTCAAAATCCGTTTTATTTTTAGCTGGATTGGAATTGCTTAAATTTTTTAAAATGAGTTCTTTAGAAAAGTTGAGCCATAAATTTTGTTTGGTAAATAGAATAAAAAGGATTTTTTTTTCTTTGAAAAATGATGTATCAAAAAGAGCAGAAAGCAAAACAAGGTCTACCCGTGCTTTCTAAAAGCGCGTTTTTTTTTTCATAGAGGTGCATAAAAATTATCAATTAATGAACTATTTATGCTGACAATACAACCCCTTTTTCTCCTATGCGTTGTTCACTTTTCAACTCTCCATATTTCTCTCACACTCTCCTCTCCCTCTCATCTGGTTCGAGCAGAGTCCCTTTTCTCCTCTTCCTCTCCTTTGGTTCAAGCAACAAAAGGTAAATTTCCTTCTGTCGCAACCTCTTTTTCTACTTATTTTGACAAGTTTTTGTTAGAATATTGAAATATTGAACTGGTGCAAACTGTAAATCATCTCTCTCCTTCTGCAATTGATTTTTGTATCGAAATGATTGAAGTTTGCTGATTAATTTTCTTAAATTCCATTTTCTGATTAATTTCTAGGACTTGAGGTGGGTTAATTTCTCTGATTAATTTAGTTAAAATCGTTTTTTTCTTACGGTTAATTATTAGAGCTTGCTGATTAGTTGTAACAAGTATGAATACTTGAGCTTTGCTACGGGTTTTAAAATCGTTGAAGAGTCATAAATGAATAGCTAGAAACATTGAGGATAATTTTGTTCATTACTCAAACAGTAGAATATTTACATGGCATATTTATATTGACTCTACATTAAGAACCTATAAACAACCAAAAATGCCTCTATTGACTTCACATTAAGAGCTACTTATAACAAAAATGAATCCGTTGCTCTTTTTTTCATGACTTAATTTTCAGCTCCAATGGTTTCTTCTGCTCTTCATTTGTTTCAATAGTTTTTAAAGGGGAATTGTTATTGACACTAAAAAAAATAAAAAATAAAAATTTATTTTGCACTTCAAACTTTCTATAATTAGAAAGAAAAATACATTTTGTGAGAAGTGTAGAATGAGATTTTTAGAGTGCTAATAACAGTTCCCTTTTAAAAAATTCTAATTTTTTTCCAGATTTTTCTTTGCAGGAGCACCGGGGAAGTCAACCATCATACGAATTGGGATATTAGGGGTTTAGGGCCAAAGAAAACGAGGGAAAATAGAGGGTTTTTGGAGAAAATGATGTGAGGAAAAGGGGGAGAGAACCTATCAATTTATAGTTCATCGTGCAAAGATCTCAGTACATTGGCTGAAACGTTCAATTTGCCATTTTCAGATCTCTTTGTGCAACAAGATGTCGTTGTGCAAGATAGTAACCGGAAAATCTTTGTGCCTTCCCAACCTTTTTCCTTTGGCTTTGCGCGATGAAAGTATGTCTACGTCATGCAAAGGTATCTTGCGTGATGTGATTCTTTGTTGCACAAGTTTTTTTACTTTTTTTCTTTAAGATGTTTTTGCTCGACTGTTCACTGAATTCGTTACGCTAGTGTCAATTTCGCGACGAGGTTTAATTTGTTGTGCAAGATTTCATTGTGCAAATAGTTTTTCCTACTGGTGTCATCACGTTTCGGAAGAACGTTGTTGAGCTTTAAGGATATTTGAGAGTAATTATCATACCGAAATTGCAAAAGAGAATGGTTCAGAATATCTATGTATCATTTTATATGGATTTGGCCAAAAGCGTATTCATGAGAAGATGGAGCGCCTCTTGATGGATTATCACTATTCTAAAAATCCCCGCATAGCGCCACCTAGGTGCTAGGCGGCTGGCCACCGCCCCGATTAATGCCTAGGCGTTCGAAAGTTAAGAAAGGGCCCCTAGACCTACTGAGGCACCCACCTAGACCGTTTAGGGACCCGCCTAGGTTGCAACTCACTTAGACAAAAAATAGATAACTTTCATTTTGCATTTTATTTTTTCCAATAAATTCTAAGAGACTTGCTGAATACTTAAATGAACACATATTATATGTTTGTTCCCCATGTTTTCATTATGTTCCAATAGCTCATAATATATATGTCATTTTATTTTGTAGGTTATGATGAAATTATATATTTTAAGTATAAACAAACACGTATTTACATGAAATCTTCCTAGTCTGCCTAGGCGCCCGCCTAGACCTTGCCTAGCCGCCTAGACGCTAGGCCCTAGCCCACAGCCTAGATGCTAGGCCCTAACCCACCGCCTAGATGCTAGGCCCTAGGCCACCGCCCGAATAGCGCCTAACGTCTTTTAGAACCTTGTGGATTTTATATTATAACCATATGAGTTGTGAAAGCCCACCACGTGGCTGCCCAAAGTCTTGGTTTCAGAGCATTTTCTTGCTTTGGCATGATCGTTTGAGACATCCAAGAAAGATATGATGTGCTGTACATTCAAAGTATCTCACTGGCATCCTCTTACTAGAAGTATGAAACTCAAGGAGGAGTGTTCATCAACTGTTCTGACTTCATCACTGAAGACATGAAGTGACATTTGTTTTAGTATTTTCATACTCGATGGGGATTGTTGCAGCCCAATTTAGTTAGGAATGCAAATGTGTAAATCCTTATGGGATTTTGTAGTATCTTTTAGATAGCGTCCTAATTGTACTGTATTACTTGAAAGAGAAGGATTCTCCCTTTCTTACTACTATAAATAAGGGCACAATGGAGTGAGATAACACACCTCATAATTCATCAATTCTCTCTTCTCTTCTCTTCTCTCTTGTCGTCGGTCTTTCTCTCATTCTCTCTATAATTCTTTAGTTAAATAGGCCTACGAAGTTTGGATATTTTTATGCAAAAATGTCTTATGTATAATCGTTATGTTATCATTATGTCGTCGATATATGAGTAGTATGTCGTCGTTTGATCATTTATGCAAACCAAAATATTTTTATTGCTGCCAATTGCTCTAATTTGATAAAAACAGATTATTTAACACAACTTTAAGCATCTCACACATCTCTTTATTTTTAACCATTAAATTAAATAAATCATATAGAATCAATGACCATGATTAAACAACTGTGTGTAAGACGCTAAAAAGGGTGTGCATTTATCATCTTTTAGACTAATCTTGCCCTTGAAATAGGATATCAATAGAGAAACTATTTTGTCAATACGTTTTTTTGTTTAATCAACCAAGGACATATAACGAGTACTTGAATTTATAATACCTTTCAACATTTGTAAGTTGTGGTAAGGATCAAATTCTAGTTTTAAGTTTGTTGGGGAAAAAAATAACAATAATCAAATAGAAATCCAATGGCCAAAAAGTGTTTTATTTGTTTTGTTGGTAATACTATAGCTTTCGTCCCTCTGCAACACTCTCGTCTCTTGTAAGCAATACTATAGCTGCCCAGCGTTGCTTTGCCTTCTTTCTTTTTTTCTCTCTCGTTTCGTCTCCCATGAACAAACCAACCAACCCAAACCATTGACAGGAATCAATGTAAGTTTGGTATCGAGCCTACTCGCTGACAAAGGGTATCACGCTATATAGCTTTACCCGAGACGCCATTGCGATGCCATACCACACCACCACCACTACTTTTACCCTCTTTTGCCCTCCGGACCATGCTTTCTTCAAGTCCAAGTACCATGTTGTGCCCTTCAAGTTCGACAAAGCTACTACGGAGGCATCTTTTGGTCATGTTTCCAAGGTCGACGCTCCTCTTCCCGGTCATCCTATCGTCATTACTTCCCTAACTGGCAGCACCCGTAGATTCGCTTCTCTCAACCGAGTAGAGGTCACTGAGTGGGATGTCAACAATAACGGACAATTGATTGTCCATGGGGTTGGGGAGTTTTTCTCTAATAACGTGAAACCATATGGGGATGCTGTAAAATATGCAGCAACTGAGGTTTGCTTAATCCGCTGGCCATGGCTGTTTTACCTTCTTTCCAAAACCCTAACTTACAAAATAGAGCAGGAACTATTTCGAGGACATGCATTCACTTTTCATCATGTGTTGTGCAAGTGTGTATCGCACAAATTCAAAATTCATATCAATTTTGAGACTAAATCAATAAGAAGTATTCAAAAGCAACAAGATCAACGTGAAACTGAACATTACTTGAGCTATTCAGTTATAGCATATTGCCCAAAAGCGATGTTTGCTAAAACGAATCTGATCCTAAACAATAGTAGGCAGTTCAAGTACTCAAGCAAGACATTGTAACCCATACTAGCGGTACTCAACTATGAGCGCAGCCTTTGGTCATATTTTTCCTGGATTTGAACAGCCTGTGTCAAAATTAAGAGTAGCCGGGTTTGTATCTTTTGTGAGGAAACTTGATGGTACGAGTGCAAGTGTAGTCAGTTTAAGCAATGGTAGGTTGGCTCATTTTAAAGTACCTTATCTATTTCTTGTCTTGACAAACTGGGGTCTTGAAGCCTTCTTCTCCAACTTTTCCCTCTTCTTCCGAGTCTTTTCATCCTCAACACCCCCCTAATAGTTACACAGTGATATCAAATCATTCACAGAACATCAAAACTATATTACTATCAGGCAATTACAGAAGCAAGAGAGGGTACCTCTGAACCTTGAGACATAAATCCTCTAATTAAACCGAATGATTTGTATGCTCCAAAACCTGGTATCTGTAAACCAACAAAACAAAGTGTAACGCTACCTATTACCATCTGACCCACGGAAATTATTCCAAATATTCTAGTCAAACCATCTAAACTCATCTGATGAAGGTCGTACAACAATACAGTTCCCAAAGGAAAACTTGGCCCCTTGTGTTACTCATCCGAAACCTACCACCGGACCACACAAGCAAAAATAAAAGTGAAGGACCAGATTTATGAGACATTTTAATCACTCAAAGATTAAGTGACAGTGACACATGGGAGATATCCCCAATTAAACCAGATTAAGTTTCCTTTTAAGTCGAAAACTAAATTTTTCATGGCACTTTCCCAAGAAGATTCCAGGTCACCAGGGTTAACCACCCTTTGGGCAGGTACACTTCCAATTTAGGTATGGGAAGGGAATGATATTTATATTGTTCTAGTATGGGATAAACAAGCCCCCGTTGGGAACAATACCTAGTTGAAATTGGGAACGAAATACATATTTTCAACGTAAGACCCAACATTTTCATTCCTTGTGTGTTAGTAAATTCAGATATGTCAGGAATGAGAACAATACCCATATCTTACATTCTCATTCCCGGTAAGTAAACACAGGATAATGGTGATGAGTATCCACCTCATTGGAAAACATCCACGCAAGGTTCTAACCAGGTAATATATATATAAATGCGTGGCAACAAGAAAAATGGTTAATTAGATCTCACCAGCAGATATGTGTACCAAAATTTTCCAGAGATTATGGACATGACTTGCACGAAGCATGTGATGTAGATGACATCATGCAAATACCTGCAACGCATGACCAACCAAAAGTCAAAATTTTACCACAAACAAAAGTTGTAATTTAATACCCCAATTATACATTAAATTTCTTCAGCAAGTAAACTTGTCTGGGTTGTTAGATGTCAATGAAGAAATGGAAGAGAGACAATTGATAAAACATGGAATTAGTTGGTTTTGCTTATTCATTTGATGTTGAGTTCCCAAAGAAGAGAAACACACACTGTACTCTAATTGTGGCCACACTGAAAATTCAAAAAATCTACCAGCTTTAATGTTGAATATAAGGAATCTTCCAATTTGAGAACTTAAATGAACATAATCACACAATTTAGTACCATATTTATTAAAGTAACCCAGGAGACAAGCACATAACACAAAGTCGAAATCGTTGCAAGGGTATTCCTAAACTTGATCACCCTCCAACACCCAAATCCTGTACCATCCTATTTCTTTTAAAATTATCGGCAAACAAATGAACAAGAAAGAAAGGTGTTTCAAATGATAAGAAATGTCATTAAAAACAAATACATACCCGCATACTCCACCAGTAGTCATATCAAAGCCACCATCTAGAAGTTCCCCATCATCGCCATAAGAAGGATTTGCCATTTGGGCCAGTTGTTGATAGGGAAAGTAATAAGCGAGAGAAGTGAGAAGCAAAGCAACCCAATTTTTCCAGGTGAAGCTAGAATGGAAGATGAGCATCCTTACTAGCACATAAATAACCTACATTGTCAAGTCCCCAACACAACGTCAGCATCACTAAGCTTTACCATGGGATTTGTAGATGAAACTATGCATAACCAGAACGAGAGTCAGCCAAAGCTTACATTACAGGCCATGATGAGGTGACGGAGATTGGCCATGTGGCGGGCATTCTCTTCCTTGCGCTTCTTTGCACCTTGATTTGCCATCTCTGTCTAATCCACGCTCTGAAAGACTGTCACCCTAGCAAAATGGAAACCCTGTTAAAGTTAACAATGTTATGTAATGGATGAATTTGGGCCTTCAAACAGATTGAATGAGCAGGTCCGCATATACTCCATTTTTCAAGTAGTGCTTAGTGCCATCAAAGAAACATAATAAAATCACCGAAGCCTCGAGTACACCGAAATTCCCAAGTTCTCAAAATAAAGACCAACACACAATTAACCAAATTACCGCAATTAAATAATACTCATCATCATGAACAAAACACTGCAACAACTAACAGAAAAGCGAAATATATGTTAAAAAAATCAGAAAAAAAAAAAGCACTGATCTCTCTCAGAATCCCAATTTCACTACTTGACCCACAGAAATGGATGAAAGGATCATTCAAACTGAATGGCAACCACAAAAGTAAAACCAAAATAAATAAATAAATAACTCGAATCCAAAAATAACTTCATCTCCAACTCAACTACCACTAAGAATGAATCAAAACCAATTAGGTTTATACTCGAAATAGGGGTTTCTTCAAAACTGAAACAAAACCTAGAAGAAGTTACCTTCGAGGGTAGAGATTGTCTCGCTGAGATAGTCTAAGTTCGTGGGCAAAAACTGCACAAAATTTGGAGTTCCAGAGTGAATTTAAAGAGGAAAAAAAGATTTGAAGGAGGAGAGGAAAAGGAAAATCCTCCTTGCTGCTGCTGTGCGTCTGACTTCACGAACAAGAGAAAGGAAAAGGATGTATTTTTTTATCTCCTCCCCTCTCTACCCCTCTCTGCCTATCCCACACGTCATCGGGAAAGTGATGGTCCCAATCAGCCAATCAAGCTACACCACGTGTCTTGCACGGTTAATTTCTGTTATATTTTTCTAAATTAATCAGAGCACCGAGGAATTTTTGTTAGGAACTTAAGGGCTACCACCATCATCTTTGAATATTCATTTAAGGATTTATGATCGATTTTTGTAAAAAACGAATTTAAACCATTATTGTTAGCTCATTGTGAGGCGTAGTTGACTTCCCCACACTTTTTTTTTTATTTTTTTTTATAAGGGAGAGGAAGGTGAAGGAGCCCGTTCGAGGTTCAGAGCCCAAAATTTTGGATTGGATTCCAGCACCTCAGCCCGATATTCAGAGCTGATTTTTGTGGGCTGAAATCCAGTACCTCATTGTCTCTGGTAGCCCTTATCCTATCCCCCTCCGGGCACAAGCTACTAGGGGTTTGCAGTTTGGCCCTCCCCAATGAGTTTCTTTACAGGTGTGAGGGGTCAAAACCCCTCACCCTATGGTTCTAGCCCCCTTTACCGCTAGACCAAACTCCTTGGGTCAGTCCCCTACTCCCTTAAATGTTGATAATATCGTTTGTTAAATAAATAAATTAAAAAAAAAAAGACTTAAAGGGAATATTTGGGTCCCTTGCCTCCAATAAGAGAGTTCTTATAGTAGAATTCCTAAATTTCAAGTTTTTATAATTTTATGTGATAATTTGATTAGACGCAAATTTTTGTTTATGTTAACCCTTTTTAATTAGTTAAAAGCATTAAATTCTTTGAAAGCTTTGTTGGGGCCCAAAATGTCATGCAAGGCCCAAGAGGACTAAAGGCTCAAATGTTCTATAATGTACATGCAGTTTCATGCTAAATCCTCTTTATATCATGCACGAAGTAATGTTTTATTCAATTATCATGCATGCCAAACAAATTCTTTAAGCCCAACACTTACCAAGCTCTCATGGACCTAAGACATGTGGAAGGTTAACAAGGCCCATGGAAAGCTTTTTGATATTGGAGATATTGGCTTACTTAGGAGTACCAAAGTCCAAGCCCAACTTAGGATGATCCCATGCTAAGTAAGCAAATGAGATATTTTTCTGCATGTTATTTTAGCCGTGCAATGTCATTAGCATAACTCCACAACAACTTATCTTCCCAAAGTATTTCACCATTTCCCCAACCAAATTCCACCATTTCCCTGCACCAAAACCTGTCTCCTCGCGAATCAATCCTTACACCAGCAACTTTCTAGCTAAATGGAAAAGTAAGCATAAAATGCACTCTTGGCTTTCACCATTAAAGAAATATTCGTAATGATTTCTTGCCAAAGTGTTTTTAGCATATTTTGACCTTTATATCCCTTTATTTGCTAGATATAAGTTATTTCCAACACCCCATTTTGTCCATTGGATATAAGGCAACTTCTATTGTTCATTTTATCTACTAGGGATAAGTTGTTTCGGGCACAACCATCACCTATTATAAATTGGAAGCCCATATTAGAGAGAGGAGAAAAAACCCGTTCAATTATATGCAAGAGAAACACAACACGCTCAGCTGCATGTAAAGATGAAGAACATATTCCCCCAACTGCTGGAAATCTCTCTTGCTTGCTGCAAGCTTTCTATACTAGCCACAAGCCTAGCCTCAAGTTCTCAATTCTCATTCTTCTAATGGAACTCTTATTCCTGTTGCAGAAACCCCTTCTTGCTACTGCAAGTCTTCCACTAAGCTATAGATTCCAACTCTAAGATTTTGCCTTTCACCACTCATCTTCCTCTAATGAAACTCTTACAAATCCTTCTCCTAAATCACATCTTAACTACACCAAAACGATCATGCCATGTCATTTGCTAAACTTGTGGCTCTTTAGCTCCCACACCTTAAGCTCTCATGCTAAGCCTTCCATGAGTGCCTAGAAATCCCAATATTTGTTAGTTTAACAAATACTCCTCAAAGTCGCCGGAACCAGCGAGGGAAACACTATGTCAGCACTCAAGAAAATGCTTTGGTAACACCTAGAGAAATACTCTGTCAGCGCCCAAGGAAACTTTCAATTAGCACCCAAGGGAAACCCTTCATCAGCGCTTAGGGAAACACTCCATTAGCGCCGAGGGAAGCATCTCATTAGCACTGGAAGCATTTTAGCGCTAGAAGCACTCAATGTAACACCGAACTAAGCACTTGGAACTACTAGAAGAAGAACAAAGAATTCCCTATTATTTGCTTTTCCTTCGGGATGCTTTGTGCCTAGTCATCGCTAACTCAAAAATGGGAGATGTGAAGGCTTTGGCTCGTCTCTTTGTAACACAAGCCCATCAAAGCCCTTCAACATGAAAACCCCCAACATATATGGCAACTTCACTGGGGACTAGGCCATTACTCTTGCAATGGCTCTTTGCCTTCACAAACTTATGATGCACAAGCTGCTTAGGAAACTAAAGATAAGAACTTCCTCTCTTTAGTTTGATTTTCGTCATTTCCTGGTAAAAATAATTATACACAAACATTACTTATTATTTTTCCTCTTTGTTGTAGTAGAAACTCATTCTCAGGAAAAACAAAATTTACTTGAAAGCCCTCGTAGGCTTAGGAAAAACAAATATGCTTTGTATTGATGTGATGGAAAGCTCCATTCCAGTGACAAACTGCAAGATCCAACAACTTGGGGGCTCCCTGCCTTCACAGACTTTTGATGCACAAGGTGCCAAAAGAGTTGAAGGATAAGATTTTTCTCTCAAATTTTATTTTGCCTATATTTTCTTTCCAACAACTATGCATAAAGGTTACTTATCCTTTTCTATGGGCTTATGCTTTAGATGTCTATCCTAAAGCGAAACGAATTATTATTATTTTTTTAAATTAATGAGGATAATGAAGGATTAGGCGAGTCAAACTACTCTTAAGACTTGGTCATCGAACTACAAAAGTAGTCTTACTTTTTAACACGCACAGAACAGTCAAAAAGAACCAAGACTCAAGATTTAGCCATCAATTACAAAAGTAGGCTACTTCCTTCCCGCTCAGAGCGATTTGAAATGGCTAACTTCTTGATAGAATCCTATGTCCCCCATCTCCGAAATTTTATTTAAAGAAAAAAAAAAAACAAAGGGATACAAGTGGGGGAATGAAGCCAAGACCCGCAAATAAACCCAAACAAAATAAAAATAAAAAATCAATGATAATGAAAAACAGAATGAAAAGAAATGTTACAGGCATGAGCGGTATAAGCAAAATTTAGAACTGTAGAACCACCAGTAATAAGCACTTCGAGCAGCACCAAAAGAAGCTAACGCATTGACAACTTGGTTACCTTCTCGATGAATATGTGTACAAATAAAACTCATATGACGAATGCGCCAAAACAAATATTCCAATCAACCAAAACAAACCAAGGGATTGAAGTAAGGGCCTTGAAAAAATGCAAAACCAAATAGGAATCAGTTTCAATCCAAATATGTTTCCAATCCTGAACCCAAGCTACACGAACTGCCTGAATGAAAGCTAAAATTTTTGCCGCCACTTAACTAGTAAACTCTGTATTCGAGGCAAAAGCACCAAACACATGTGCGTCCAAATTTTGAAAATTTCCACCAAGACCGGCATGACCATTCGCATAAGAACCATCAATATTAGCTTTAATCCAACTAGATTATGAAAGGCGCCTAACCATTGAAATGAAAGAAGGAGCGGTGGGAGAAACGGAGAAATACCTAATAATAAATAAATAGGCAACACACCAGAAGATGAGCTGCTACAAGGGAAACACACAAAAGCCTCTTTTAGAAACCGAGTAATAAGCCAGCACTTGGAATAATCTAAGGGGGTTGGTTTTTCTTTAAATCTAATTTGATTACGGAGAGACCAAATTCCCTAAATAAAAGTGCAAGCCACAATAATAGAAAGTTTGCAAGAAGAGCTAGAAAAAACTTGTTTAATAGACTCCACCACTACCGAAGAACAACGGAAGATAGCCACTAACCAGTGTCATAAAAATATAGACCAAGGGCATTCCAAAATAAAGATGCTTAAGAGATTCAGAAGTCGAATTGCACATTGGACAACATGAAACCATCATAATACCCATGTGCTAAGAAAGAATCAGTGAAGAGCCAGCCATGTGAGACTTTCCAAACAAAAGACTATTCCGAGGTTGAATTCGTTGAGACCAAATTACCATTCCCTAAGGGACCTGAGAGTCAAAATTAAGCAAATGAGAGTATGCCTTTTCGCTGATAAAAGACCAGAAGAAGAGCCTAACCAACATAAAGAGTTTGTAAAGGGAGATGAGTAGCACAAACTGAAGTAGCCACCTCTAGAAAAACATTAGAAAGAATGACAAGTAAATCCCAATGAGAACCCCTAATAAAATCGCTAATAGGAGCACTAATAGTATAAGCTAGTATAAAAAAAATAAATTAAAGGCCTATTCAACCAAGTATTTGAAGAAAAAGAAATTTGAGAGCCATCTCCAATAACCCATGTTTGAGTTCGATGGGATAATGGGGAGAACCTTCTTAAAACCAAGCCAAACAGAAGAATTTTTTTTGTATGTTGATAAGGGAACTAAACCCCGGTGCATGAAACGAGCACACATAAAAACTGCCTTCAATGAAGATGAAGCAAGCATATCCTAACAACGTTTCAAAAGATGAGAACAAATCAGAATTGACTAGTCTTTCAATCCTAAACTCCCAAGGTTTTTTGGATGACAACATACCTGCCAAGAAACAAGAGGAACGCCATGAGAGTTGGGATCACTTGACCAAAAAAAATTCGTCACCCAACGTTGAAACTTATTCAGTAGGAGGTGCGACCAAGCATAAATCTGAAAAGTATGAATGAGAAGACTTTGAATGACAGAAGTGACCAACTCTAAACGCCATGCTTAAGGAAGCATAAGACCCTTACAAGCTAAAAGTTTTCACTTAACTTTATCTGCAATTTCTTGAAAATAAATGCGCAA